AATGAAATAGAGGCTAAAAACATAATACAAATGATCAATGAAACCAAGGGCTGTTTTTCTTAAACAAATGAACAAAACTGACAAACATTCAACCAGACTCAGCAAAGAGGGAGGAAGAGAGAGAGAGAGAGAGAGAGAGAGAGAGAGAGAGAGAGAGAGAGAGAGAACCCAAATAAATAAATAAAATCAGAAATGAAAGATGAGCAGTGGCAACAGAACCCACAGAAATACAAAAAAAAATTTTTTTAAGAAAATACTATGCAACGATATGCCAACAAATTGGACAATCCAGAAAAAAAAGGATAAATTCCTAGAAACATGCAATCTTCCAAGGCTGAATCAATAAGAAACAAAAAATTTGAACAGACCAATTACAACTAATGAAATCAAGTCAGTTATCAACAAGCTCCCAAAAAACAAAAGTCCTAGATAAGATGGCTTAACAGGTAGATTTTACCAAACATTCAAAAAAGAATTAACACCTATCTCCTCAAACTATTCCAAAAAATCCAAGAGGAGGGAAGGATCCCAAGTTCATTATATGAGGCCACCATTACCCTGATTCCAAAACCAAAAAATAAAATTACAACACCCTCCAAAAGAAACAAACAAACAAAAAACTATAGGATGATATCTCTGATGAACATAGATGCAAAAATCCTCAACAAAATATTAGCAAACTGAATTCAGCAATATATTTAAATGATCATACACCACGATCAAGTGGGATTCATTCCTAGTGTACAAGGTTGTTTCAACATACGCAAATAAACTAATGTGATATATCACATAAACAAAATGAAAAGTAAGAATCATATGGTCTTATAATATATGCTGAGAAAGCGTTTGACAAAATCTAGCATCCTTTTACAATGAAAACACTCAGAAAAGTGGGAATAGAGGAACATACCTCAGCATAATAAAGGTCATATATGACGAACCCACGGGGAATGTCATACTCAATGGGGAAAATCTAAAAGGATTCTCTTTAAGATCAGGAAAAAAGACAAGGATGCCCACTTTCACCACCTTTATACTACATAGTTGTGGAAGTCCTAGCCACAGCAATCAGACAAGAAAAATAAACAAAAGGCATCCAAATGTGAAAGAACAAATACTGTCATTATTTGCAGATGACATGATGCTATAGAGAGAGAACCCAAATAATTCCACCAAAAATTATTAGACCTGATAAATGAATTTAGTAAAGTAGCAGGATGCAAAATTAATATCCAGAAATCAGTTGCATTTTTATACACCAATAACAAAATATAGAAAAAGAATTACAAAAACAATCCCATTTACAATTGCATCTAAAGAAGAAAACATTTAGCAATAAATTTAACTAAGGAGGTAAAAAACCTGTACTCAGAAAATATAAGACATTGAAGAGAGAAATTAAAGAACATACAAATAAATGAAAATATGTACCAATATGTAGGAAGAATTAATATAGTTAAAATGTCCATACTACCCAAAACATCTATAGATTTATTGCAACCCCTATCAAAATACCAATGGCACTTTTCACAGAAGTAGAACAAATAATCCTAAAATTTATATGGAACCATAAAAGACCCTGAATAGACATGGCAGTCCTGAAAAATAAGAACAAAGCTGGAGAAATCACACTACCTGATATCAAATTATACTACAAGGCCATAGTTATCAAAACAGCATGGTACTGGCATAAAAACAGACACATAGATCAGTGGAACAGAATAGAGAGCTGAGAAATAAATCCATCCTTATAAAGTCATTTAAACAATGATAAAGAAAGTAAAAACTTACAATGGGGCCGGCCGAGTGGCTCAGTTGGTTAAGAGCTCGCTCAAGAGTTTGAGCTCTGAGCAACAGCGGTTCGAGTCCTGGCCCGAGCTGAGCAGCCGCTGAGCTACCAACAGGTGGCAGGATGGCTCAGCTAAAAAAAAAGAACACAAAAAATACACAAAACTTACAATGGAGTAAGGTCAGTCTACTAAATAAGTGGTGCTGGGAAAACTGGACAGATACATGCAAAAAACAAAACTGGACTACCTTCTTACACCATACACAAGAATAAACTCAAAAACAGATGAAAGACTTAAACGTATGACCCCAAACCATAAAACTCCTAGAAAAAATATAAGAAGTAAATTCTCAAATATTATTCTTAGTAATACTTTTATTGATATATCTCCTTGGGCAAGGTAAACAAAAGAAGAAATAAAGAAAAAGGACTATATCAAACTAAACAGTTTTTTCACGGCAAAAGACCATCAAAAACCAAAAAGACATCCTACTGAATGGGAGAACATATTTGCCAATGATACATCTGATAAAGGGTTAATATCAAAAGTTTATTGAAAAAACTCATACAACTTACCACCAAAAAAACAACAATCCAATTAAAATTTGGGCAGAGGAAAGGGCCGGCTGAGTGGCTCAGTTGGTTAAGAGCTCGCTCAAGAGTTTGAGCTCTGAGCAACAGTGGTTCGAGTCAGCCTGAGCTGAGCAGCCGTGAGCTGCCAACAGGTGGCGGGATGGCTCAGCTAAAAAAAAAATTAAAAAAAAAATTAAAAAAAAAATAATAATAAAATTTGGGCAGAGGATCTGAATAGACATTTCTCCAGAGGACATACAGATGCCAATAGACATATGAAAAGATGCTCAACGTCACTGATCATCAGAGAAATGCCAATAAAAATTACAATGAGATACCACTTCACTCCTGTCAGAATGGTTATCATCAATAAATTAATAAACAAGTGTTGGCGAAAATGACGATCAAAGGGAACCTTTGTGCACTGTTGGTGGGACTGCAAATTGCTGCAGCCACTATGGAAAACAGTATGGAGGTTCCTGTTAAAGGAGGTTACTGTTAAAAAAAAGAACTACCTTCAGAGTACATATATCTTTATGAATAAATGTTTTCAACTGAAAACAACAAAAAAACAAGAAAAACAAATGAAGAAACAGAACTCATAGACACAGACAGCAGTTTAGTGGTTACCAGAGAGTAAGGGGGGAGGAGGGTGGTAGAAGAGGGAAAAGGGGATCAAATATATGGTGATGGAAAGAAAACTGACTGAGTGGTGAACACACAATGTGATATATAGATGATGCATTACAGAAGTGTACACATGAAGTCTATGTAACTTTGCTAACACTTGCCACGCCAATAAACTTAAAAAAACCCAAAAACTTCAAGATCCTGATGTTACCTAACTCTCAAAGCACAAAAAATATAGCACATCTTAATAGTAATTAAAACATGTATTCAGTTTTGAGTTTAATGTACAGGATGAAAATTTCTACCTGAGCATTAATGATAATAATAATTAGTTATTATTATTATTATTATTGACTTGTTATTATGAAGAGGCAGGAAAAACTATGATGACTGCTCATGTTGTGCACTTACCATAGATCTGTCACTTACTCATCACTGCACATTTTGATTACATGCTTAAGTATGTATGTTTTTAATATAAAATTAGTGAAGTTGTACTGATATTTTCTATGTTTTTCTATGTCTGATTTCATTCTAATTGAACAGTAAAACATGGTTCCATTTGAAAAGGAAATGTATTAATGTTTTTTACAGAGGAATATGCAAGTTACACTGGGGAGAGCTGTTTTTCCTTGCGTCTTTTCATGTGCACTTTGGGGCCAGATAGATGCATGCCATTGAAAAATGAATCTAAAACAATTTATAAGAAAGTTTACTTCTGAAAGAAGGAAAAAGTTTATCAGTGTTTAAACAAATATGCACAATTGAGAAATCTTTAATATAAAAATATTTATTGTTCATATTTCTGGATTAAATTATATTTTCAGTGAATCAGCATGCATTATTATAAAAGGTTATATGTTCACTATTCTTATTAAAAGCTGTGACAAATCAAACAAGTTGACTTTTTTTAGGGGAGGGTCACATCTAATTCTTTCACAATTGAAAAGACACAATACAAACAGCTGCTTGGAATTCCTGCAGTAAACTATTCTTTACTAAATATCCAAAAAGTACATAGCAGAATTATAGCTATATATTAAAGAAAAACCTACAACTTAAATAATTTAACTGTAAACTTTTATGTTCACTAGTAAGTTAATTATTGTAGTTATATATAAAATTATACCAGAACTATAAATATAAATGTGTATTACTACTGATCTGATTCACAATACGTAAATTTTTCAGAATAGCAAGAACAAATGTTAATCTAAAATAAAATATTTTAAAAAGCCAAAATAAATGTTCCTGGTAAAAGTCAAAACAAAAAATCTTAATATACTTTGCCTGATATGTGGAAAAATGGACATCCTGGTATATTCCATAACTTATCTAATGTGATAATGAATGGTGGCTGACAACTGATTACCACACTTTTCTTTTCTTTTTTTTTTTTTAATTGGGGAATTGGGCAATGGGAACAGTGCTGGGGAATTGGGGGAAGGGGAACAGACAAGTTGCTGTCCTTTTGTTCTTCAGTCTAGTTGTGGAGGACGTTGCTTCACTGGCCCAAGTTGGCACCATCATTGCGCTCTTTCTGGGTGAGGCAGATCAGTCACCGGCTTCTGGACGGCCACTCACTGCAGCTACTGGCCGCTCACGCTGGCTGCTGGCTACATACGGTAGCCCATGGCAACCCATTGCCACAGGGGCTGCAGCCTACGCCGTCGCCGGCGACTCACAGCAGCCCAGCTCCAGGTTGAGCTGTTGTTCAGCATCTTAGCTGTGGAGGGCAGTGTCACTGGCCCTCATATGTGGGATCCGAACCGGGGCCCTCTGGCGTCCCAAGCCAGCTCTTAACCAACGTGCCACTGGGCCGGCCCACACTTTCTTTTTTTTCTTTTTTTTTTTTAAAGGCAGACTGTTAGAAGAACTGAGGCATCTTCAAATAATACTTGTATAGTTCAGCACACTTGAAATTAAAAGGGATTTTGTGAATTAATATTATAGTACATGTGGCATACCTTTCTGAGCTTATTTTTAAAAATTACAATGTTACGGCGTCCGGGGCGTCCGGGCGTCCGCGTTGGGGCCCCCTGGGGCTCGCCAGGTGCAGCTCCTTTGCCTGCTCACCGCCAGGAACCCACGTCACCTGCCTCAGATTTGATTAAGAAAAGGATGCTGTGGACATTAGCTGACTTGCACAAACAGTGGAACTTGAACAACAGCACAGAGCAGGATGTCGGATGTGGCTTCTGTAACTAAGGAAAACAGAGTGGGGATGGCTCTGCGAAAAATGGGTGCCATGGCCAAACCAGACTGCGTCATCACCTCTGACGGCAAACACCTCACTGTAAAAATGGAGAGCACGTTGAAAACAACACAGTTTTCATGTGACCTGGGAGAGAAGTTTGAAGAAACTACAGCTGATGGCAGAAAAACTCAGACTGTGTGCAACTTTGTCAACGGCGCGCTGGTTCAACATCAGGAGTGGGACGGGAAGGAAAGCACGATAACGAGAAAGCTGGAAAACGGGAAATTAATGGTGGAATGCGTCATGAACAATGTCTCCTGCACTCGGGTCTATGAAAAAGTTGAGTAAACATTACATCATCCTTCTGGACAGGAATTAGCTGCATGAATAAACAGGCTCAGTTCAATGAGCACATCTATCCATGCTTTTTTTCATTACTGTATTCAGTTCTCTTTATCACAAACGTTATACATGCAACTATTTCCAAGTGTTGGTTTAATTAAGATCGTCCCTTTGGTTAATAAATAAATGTGTTTATGCTAAAAAAAAAAAAAAAAATTACAATGTTACTTATATATAGCAAGGCCCATTTTACTAAAATCAGATTTGTGTTAAAATTTTATATTTATATTAGTATTCTCATTGTATGCCACTATCATGGTACTATGTGAATCACTTGTGCACAAGCTCATCACATTTAACAATTAAAGCTTAGCCAATTCGCAGTGTCAGCATAATATCAATTTAGCATTTGTTAGTGGTTTGGATTTTTAAGCCTATTCAGCACACTGGCCTAATTAAGTGCATTCTGACTTCTATAAGAACAATATTTTAAGTATAAAATAAGTATTATAGTCATAATAAAATCTTACAGAATATTACTCCTACTACTAATATACACTATCTTTCACACTAGTGAGGAAAAATACTGAATGCCAAGCAAATTATAAAGAGCACATATTCACCCCAGTTCAAATAAATTGTAAAACAGAATGTAGTCAATCAGAAACCTAAAGGTTTAGGTTGCCATTAACATTTGGAATATCTACCATATTAGGCACAAAAGAAAATGGATAATTAGTCACTGTTCTTGGGATACCCCCCTTCTCCTATTTATGCAATGATTAATTAACTTTAACCCAACACATGGAGCACAAAATTGGCTTCATTCATCCCATTCCTAATTCTCAGCACAAATGAAGCAAAAGAGAATTTATTTCTTCCCTGAGCCACAAAAACCCCTGGGTGCCATGATATACTTACGTTAATATCAATGTTATGGTCTTAGGCTAACCTTTTACTGCCCAAAGTAAGAAGAAAGTATTTGTCTATATAATCTGTCTTATAAGCAGTTTTATGTTACCAAAATTTTTTCTCATTGTTTATTAGAGGACAGATAGGAAATATTTATGATGTCACTAGATGCTTTCAACCTCTAATAACATTACTTATTAGAAAGCTAGAATGCACAAGTGTGTTTTTTCTCAAGACCACAATTTGAAAGTTACTGATGCAAAACCTGGAGAATGACATTAGTCATTGTAGGTCCTGAATTTGAGTTTTACATTGGTCATTACTATCAAATGATTATTATATTTTCAAAACTGAACGTGTTTGATTTTATTGGCATTAGACATTTAGAAATAACAAACTTTAAACACACACTTTCTGGTATCTATTTAAATAATTTATCATTCAACTCTAAAAAATGGTTGTTCAAAACAGGTCATAAGGAATTTCCATGATGTTGTGTCCTGATTTTTCAAACTTCATATAATCAATATCTGTAGTGAAAATTACCTGTAAAAAATGAGTGCAAATAGGGCATTTTATGAGAGATTAAAAATTATCTTTATGATATCAGACAAACATATTTGGACTAACAACCACAACATAATTTCATGACTGTTGTTGATGTTGTTTCTCACCTGTCATAGAAAAATAATAATGCCTTTATATTAAATATGCATTGTGCCTTATATGTTACCTATGCTGAATTAAATGCAGTATTGGAGCCAGATCTTACTGGCTAGCAAGAACAGACTGTTAAAATTTTAGAAAATTTTTAAATCAGTTGTTAAATATAGCCATTATAATAAATCAAATTATATAAAATTATAATAAAATGTATTATAATTAAAGTTAATAATTGGAAGATAATTTTGGAATGGTGACACAAAGAGATCTTCAGACCTTCCCTCCAGTGAAACAAACATAACTGGTGAATATTACTTAAAAGAAATAGTAATATGAGTCTCTGGAGATTGTCTGTCCCAAGAGCATATAGAATGTGAGTAAACATTTATTCAAGAAAATATACTAAATATTGGTAAGAAAAGTGAGAGTCTGTGGATTTTGAGTCATGACATGCCTCTTTCCCATTCCCATTTCTCTACTCAGCCTGGTGGAAGCTGTATTGTGAGGTGTGGAGAGTGGTGTAGCCAACAACACATGGCTACCTCTCCCACCACCTCCCCGACTAAGGCTACAGTGTCTTCCCTGAAGAGCCCAGTTGACCATATTTTCATCCTCCTTCAGATTCTTGGCAGAAGTGCTGTTCCTCTATTACAAACAAGAGTAACTAAGAGGTCTGAGGTTTCCTTTCTCTGACTAAACCTCACTCATATGGCAGAAGATTTACCCCTTGTTCAATAAGTTGAACTTAATTCTAGGATATAGCTTTCATGGTGACATAGATAAACTGAGAGCACCAGAAGCCGACCATGACTGCCCATTACCCTGCTTGAAGAGCAAGAGGGCCACTCTGAGAGGAGAATATCACTCACGCTTGCCACTACTGTGGATGGGTGGCACAAAGAGTTTGACCAGGTAAATTTTCAACAGAATACAATGCTCCATAATTCTCCCCGAAAGCATTGTGTTATGGGCTAACTTGTGCATCAGGAAAAAATCACATTTTGTAGCCCTAACAATCAGTACTTCTGAATTTGACTGCATTTGGATATAAGTTATTTAAAGATGTGATTAAGTTAAAAAGATGCCCTTAGGCTGGGTTCTAGTCCAATCTGACTGGTGTCTTTATAAGAATAGGAAATTTGGACTCAGAGAAAAGACAACAGGGGTGCACATACACAGAGGAAAGTCCCTGTGATGGCACAGTGAGAAAGTGGCCACATGTAAGCCAGGCAGGAAGACTAAAATAAACTAAAAACTGTCAACATTTTGATCTTGACTTCTACAATCTAGAACTTGTAAAAAAATTAATTTCTGTTGTTTAAGCCACCTAATCTGTGGTATTGTGTTATGGTAGCACTAGCAAACTAATAGAAGAGCCCCAAATACATGAGAAACAACATTAAGAGTACAAATTTATGCACAATGGGAGTCTAGAGGAAGAAGAAAGAGAGAGTGGCAAACATAATATTTGTAGAAATAATGGCAGAGTTTCACAAATGTCACAAAAGGTTTGAATCTACACTTCTGTGGATGAAAAAGGTGTTCTAGGAAAGTTACCTCACAGGCGGATCTGATCATAAATTCCTAACTGGACAAGTCATAGTGTGTAGTCCCACCTGAGGCATACAACTTCTTTAATAAAATATTTATATTTGCCTTAAACAAGCCATGTCCATTGTTTCTGTGAAACTAGGTTAACACACACTTGAAATGCCTCTTTGCAGACCCTTCAGAAACAAACAACCCTCAAGAAAGCATATAATCTTGGTAACTATCCTGTGACCCAATCCCTGCCTTGCTTCCTCCTACCTTCGTTTAATCTTTCTTATGTTCCCTCCTTAATTCCACATTCATAACAGAAATCTGAAAACCGCCATTCTTCGAAGCATTTTTTCCCCCTCAGTCTGTTGAGATCTTGCTTCCAGGCATATTCTCTATTTGGTTCAAATAAATTTTTATAAATTTTTTTCTACAGGTTTGAACGTTCTTATATCAACACATCCAGGAAGCTCAGTGAAAAATAAGAATAATAAACACAAAGAGATACACAGTGATACACATTACAATCAAATTGTTGAAAACCATAAACAAAGAGAAAATCTTGATAACAACAAAAAGAAGAAACTCATCACATAAAAGAAATCCTCTATAAGATAACAGCAGATTTCTCATCAGAAACCATAAAAGCCAGAAGAAAGTGGGATGACATATTTGAAATGCTAAAGAAAAAAAAAGGTCAACAGAGTTCTACATCAGGAAAAATTACTCTTCATAAATTATTAAAAAATTAAGACATTCACAAATAAAAGCTCAGACAATTTATCAATATTTTACCTGTCTCACAATAAATGCTAGAAGGAGTCCTTCAGGCTGAAATGAGAGGACCCTAGACAGTAACTCAAAGCCATGCAAATGAATAAAGAACTTCAATAAATAGTACTATATAATAAGATATAGGAGCCAGCATTATTAAAAGTTTGGTTTGTAACTCCTCTTATTGTCTTAAATAACATAAAAGAATATTTGTAAACAATAATTATAAATATATGTTAATGACACGCAATACATACATATGTAATTTATGACAATAACAACATGAAGTATGAGGGATGGAATCATATGAGAGGAGAATTGTTTCAATACTATTGGAGCTAAATTGTTATTAATTCAAACTACATCATTATAAGTTTAATATAGTAATTGCAACACCCAGGATAACACTAAGAAATTAACTAAAAAATGTACAGAAAAGAAAGTGAAAAGGAAATCAAAATGTTACACTATAAGAATTCAATTAAAAATGAAATATAGCAGTCATGAAGTAAGTGAGTGGGGAAATGATATAAGACTTACAGAAAGCAAATCAAAAGATGGCAAAATAAGTCTATCCTTATTAGTAATAACTACAAATGCATTAAATTCTCTTATTACAAGGCAGATATTGGCAGAATGTATTTTTAAAATGATACAACTAAATGTTGTTTATAAGAGACCCATTTTAGATCCAATGAAAAAAATAAGTTGAAAGATACAGTATAAAAACTGATTATGCATTGCATCGCTATAGTAGTAAAAAAATAGACTTTAGGTTAAAATGGTGATGTTACATATTTATAAATGTGTCAATTCATGAATTGAATATATAACAATTAAAATATATATGAATCCTAGAACAGAGTCCCAAAATATATGGAGCAAATATTGACAGGAATAAAGGATGAAATAGATAGTTCTACAGTAATAGTTGTAGACTTCAACATCCCACTTTCATTAGTAGATAGAATAGCTAGAGTTGATAAATAAGAATATAGAAGAATTTAAGAATGCTATAAACTATTTAGACTTAAACGCTCATATACAGAACATTCCACCAAACAATAGCAGAATGCACATTTTTCTCAAATGCACATGGAATAATCTCTAGGATAGACAATCTTTAAGTAAACAAAACTAGCTTCAGCAATTCAAAAAGACTAAAATCATACAAAATATCTACTCAGACA